TGAGGCAAGGCCGAGTGTTCGCACTAGTACCGGGAGATGTGCAGAATACCGAGACCGTTGTGTCAGGTATCCTCTCTATCTGTACACAAAATGCATATGTATTGATTGATTCGGGGTCTACACATTCTTATGTATCGCACGCTTTCTCACGGAAACTGAATAGATGTATGTCCTTTATTTCTGAACTGTACTGTGGCATCCTTAGTACCTACTGTTTACTGTTACTGTGACAGAATTCTCTGTCGGTTCCCTCGTGGAGCCACTACTGTTTACTGATTGATGGCCATCATTACTGTTTGGTCTTTTAAGACCTACTGTTACTGTTATGCTAATGGATGTACCACATATGACTGTTTACTGTACTGAACAACTGAAATACTGATTGAATTGGAACTGTTTTCATTACTGTAAGGACATTCATTCTAAACCCCTTTACGCTTTATGTTATTCACTGGGCTTTAGCTCACTGCTCATGTATATATGTAGGTGTACAGGCACCAGATCGGAGCTAGGAGCGTCAGGGTAACTCCAGTTTGGTCAAGCCAGCCTTTGTGCCTCACTGCGAGGTTCCGAGTTGCCATGCTATGGCTTGGGGGTGTTTTGTTTGTTTTCCCCCGCCTGTCTTCATACTGTCTAACTGTTCTGTATAGACTGAATGTTTACCGTACTGTTATCAAGGGATTAGGTCCCTGTACTGTGTGACTGTAAATTTTGTATAGACTGTACTGTTTGTGTTTGTATGATTGCATGAAAAATCTTTTTGGCATACAGACTGTCACAGCTCATTGGACATTGTTTAATTACTGTATTGGCTTCCGCCAGGCCCTGTACTCTGTTTTACTGTATTACTGTTAAGCAGGCCTTCGGTAATCTCGGATTACTGGCCGGTTACGGTGCTAAACCCATAGGGCCGGGTTTGGGTCGTGACACTCACTGTGCTTATGCATTTGAGAAATCTTTGGTAAACACTTACTCGCTTGCATTTGGTATTTTGTGTTTATATTACTTTTCGAAGTCTTGCCATTTTGAGTTCATGCAAAAATATTTGATGATGATGGATGAAGGTGGTGAAGAACCACTGGCTGCCATAAAGTCTGCGCACTAAACTAAGTTTGGTCTTGCAATATTTGTATAAGATATGATCCGTTATTAAATCTATTCAAACTCCTGAATATAGTATGTCCAACTGTACCTAGGATCTACTAAATTTTTATTCAATAATTTTAAATCGTTTTTAATGTCTGGTGTAGCCATACATCTGACCATGGGATGAATTGTCTGTTTTTGATATAGGGTTGATGTTGCTATTACACCGAAATATTCACTGAATGTATTGATCGTTGATTTCCTTTGGCTTGTTTCCAGACAGATGATTTGTAGGACCATATCATTATCTGTGGATTTGGACGTGTTGGCCAGGTATTGTCACTATTTGCATTTTTTTTTGGATGAATTTGTTTTAAATCATTTGTTGTGGTGGATCTATTTTTAATGTAGTTTATTTATAGATTCGTACCCCAAAAAATAATGTAGTTCATGTATGGATGTATGTATCATGTTTTGTCTAAGAGTAGTATTTCCTTCTGTTGTTCTTTCAGATCATTGCGCAACTTCTTTCATAACAACTTATTCCATTTGTTGCTCTTGATGTGAGGAGGTATGCTTCCATCACAATGAATTGATATTCCTGGAATAAAGTCAATTTTGGGGCTGAGAGAGAGAAGGGATTGCTGATTGAATATTCTGCTGAAAATCTTAGTCATATGAGTGTGGGCTGTGTGAGTTTTCTAGTTCCTTTTGGGTAATCTATGCCAGTTTGATGACTATTTCATGTAGTTCTGTTCTGGGGGTATGCCTTCTTTGTCTTTTTATGACGTCCATTTTTTATGATAAAATCTAGTATTACTTGCCAAGGACAACATGGGGATTTCAAGTCTATGAAGTGAATATCCAGGATTATCCAGCCTTTGGTTCCATATTTTCCTATATTTACTTATATTCCCTGAATCTCTGTGAACATTTTAACATAAATGCAAATTGGCAAAAAAGAAAAGGTACCGTGTCCATGACTTACTGAGAATGTGTTAAATGGTTATGAGAATATTTTACAACAGTATCCAGATAACTGATTTTAGATTTTCCATCATTTCAGTGACTGAGTAGTAGTTGGCTGTGCACTTGATCTTCCTGTGTATTTTGGTGATGCTGGTAGTCGAGAGGGATAGATGATCCTGCTCAAACTTAAATATGCTTTGTGCAGGTTCATTGTCTGACATGCTGCTTGTATTCCTGGCCATGAGGTGCTCCATAAAGTTGGTGCTGAAAGAGCATATGCAGCAGCAATAACTTTAGATACCCCCGGTGCAAACTATAGAACAGTGTGGGCTTTGAGCAAGTATTTCCTAAATGTCAAGACATTTGTCTATGCTCATGACGTTGATCATGGCCTTATTTTGGAAAAGGCGGAAGCAACAACGGTACATTTCTGTTGCTATTTTCATTAGTTATTTCACTCTTCCTAATTGCCTATATAGGTTAATCTTACAATTTTATTTTAGGATTATGTTTGAGGATCTCATTATTCTTGTTTGACTTGTGTATAAATCTTTTATCAGTACTAATATATCTTGCATTATCAATATAAAGATCAAATTTTTGTTCAAATTACATCATATCTTGAGTTTTAGTTGAAACTCTTACAGGTTGTCCCCGAGACCTTGGAACCTAGTCTCCAACTAGCTGCTGCTGTTCTTGCACAGGTAAAAAACAGTGCATCTTATTGGATATTTTAATTTGAATTAGTGACTTGCTACATGCTTACCTTTAAGTCTCAATTTAACTATTTGTGTACATCGTCTTCATTGTTGAGCACATGTTTTATGTCCATGCTGGTTCTTTGATCGTAAAGTAGAAGCGGCTGTTGCTTCTCCAAAGTGTTTTGTGATTTATATGATATAATTTCACTTTCATGAGACACACACACACACAAACGCATTTGACTCAGTTAACGCATTGAAAACTGAAGGCAATTGGATCTAATCTTGTGGATCCGCCAGCTGCAATGCAGCAACTCAAACTCTTGTTATTGCTAGAGTTGCAAATGAACAGAGCTGTTCGTGAACAAGCTCGGCTCGGTAGGAGCTCGTTTGAACTTGGTTCGTTAATTTTTTTTTTGCATTTGAGCTCGTTAAATTTTTAATAAACAAGCCCAAACATTCTAAAGCTCGGCTCGTTAGCTGGTTCGTTTAATATTTATTATTTATATATTAAATAATATAAAAATATGTATAAAAAATAAGATAAATATTCCTTTGGCTTGTTTCCAGACAGATGATTTGCAGGACCATATCATTATCTGTGGATTTGGACGTGTTGGCCAGGTATTGTCACTATTTGCATTTTTTTTTTTTGATGAATTTGTTTTAAATCATTTGTTGTGGTGGATCTATTTTTAATGTAGTTTATTTATAGATTCGTACCCCAAAAAATAATGTAGTTCATGTATGGATGTATGTATCATGTTTTGTCTAAGAGTAGTATTTCCTTCTGTTGTTCTTTCAGATCATTGCGCAGCTTCTTTTAGAACGACTTATTCCATTTGTTGCTCTTGATGTGAGGAGGTATGCTTCCATCACAATGAATTGATATTCCTGGAATAAAGTCAATTTTGGGGCTGAGAGAGAGAAGGGATTGCTGATTGAATATTCTGCTGAAAATCTTAGTCATATGAGTGTGGGCTGTGTGAGTTTTCTAGTTCCTTTTGGGTAATCTATGCCAGTTTGATGACTATTTCATGTAGTGCTGTTCTGCGGGTATGCCTTCCTTGTCTTTTTACGACGTCCATTTTGTATGATAAAATCTAGTATTACTTGCCAAGGACAACATGGGGATTTCAAGTCTATGAAGTGAATATCCACGATTATCTGGCCTTTGGTTCCATATTTTCCTATATTTACTTATATTCCCTGAATCTCTGTGAACATTGTAACATAAATGCAAACTGGAAAAAAAGAAAAGGTACCGTGTCCATGACTTACTGAGAATGTGTTAACTGGTTATGAGAATATTTTACAGCAGTATCCAGATAACTGATTTTAGATTTTCCATTATTTCAGTGACTGAGTAGTAGTTGGCTGTGCACTTGATCTTCCCGTGTATTTTGGTGATGCTGGTAGTCGAGAGGGATAGATGATCCTGCTCAAACTTAAATATGCTTTGTGCAGGTTCATTGTCTGACATGCTGCTCGTATTCCTGGCCACGAGGTGCTCCATAAAGTTGGTGCTGAAAGAGCATGTGCAGCAGCAATAACTTTAGATACCCCCGGTGCAAACTATAGATCAGTGTGGGCTTTGAGCAAGTATTTCCCAAATGTCAAGACATTTGTCCGTGCTCATGACGTTGATCATGGCCTCATTTTGGAAAAGGCGGGAGCAACAGCGGTACATTTTTGTTGCTATTTTCATTAGTTATTTCACTCTTCCTAATTGCCTATATAGGTTAATCTTACAATTTTATTTTAGGATTATGTTTTAGGATCTCATTATTCTTGTTTGACTTGTGTATAAATCTTTTATCAGTACTAATATATCTTGCATTATCTGTATAAAGATCAATTTTTTGTTCAAATTACATCATATCTTGAGTTTTAGTTGAAACTCTTACAGGTTGTCCCCGAGACCTTGGAACCTAGTCTCCAACTAGCTGCTGCTGTTCTTGCACAGGTAAAAAACAGTGCATCTTATTGGATATTTTAATTTGAGTTAGTGACTTGCTACATGCTTACCTTTAAGTCTCAATTTAACTATTTGTGTACACCGTCTTCATTGTTAAGCACCTGTTTTATGTCCATGCTGGTTCTTTGATTGCAAAGCAGAAGCGGCTGTTGCTTCTCCAAAGTGTTTTGTGATTTATATGATATAATTTCACTTTCACGTGACATACAAACGCACAAACGCATTTGACTCGGTTAACGCATTGAAAACTGAAGGCATTTGGATCTGATCTTGTGGATCCGCCAGCTGCAACGCAGCAACTCAAACTCTTGTTATTGCTAGGGCTGCAAATGAACAGAGCTGTTCGTGAACAAGCTTGAGCTCGGCTCGCTAAGAGCTCGTTCGAACTCGGTTCGTTAATTTTTTTTTTTGCGTTCGAGCTCGAGCTCATTAAATTTTTAATAAACAAGTCCAAACATTCTAAAACTCGGCTCGTTAGCTGGCTCGTTTAATATTTATTATTTATATATTAAATAATATAAAAATATGTATAAAAAATAAGATAAATATATTATTTATATATTTAAAAAATATAAATGTAAATAATAGTTAACTATAGATAGTATATTTATATAATACTGGTAGTAAATATTATTATTTTGGTAAAATATTAATTTTTTTGTTAGAATGTTTATATATGTTGTATATATAATTGTATAATTAAAATTTTAATTGTAATTTTAGTCTCATAAATGAGTTTATAAATTTTTTCTCGTTAAAACTCGTGAGCAGATTCAAACTTGAATCAAGCCTGAGTTAACTTAGCTCAAGCTCGATTTGTTAAATTTTATTGAGTTAAAATTTTAATAAATAAGTTTAAACATATTAAAATTCAGCTCCATTTAGCTTGTTTACCGTCCTACCTGCAAGACATGCCACAGTACTCAACCATCTCTCTCTCTCTCTCTCACACACACACACACCCTCCACATGAAACTCCTAAAAAAAAACATTAAACCCATTTCGACACCCCACATGAAACTCCTAAAAAAAAAAAAACATTTAGAAAAGGATGAAGAAAAACCCATTTCTACATTTCAATGATAGATTCAACAACATATAGTGAGAAGCAATCCAGTTGAGTAGAACCCTTTCACCTTTTTAGCTAAGAGTTGCAACAAAACTCTCCTCTCTACACGACTACACAGTTGGCCAGAAACAAAACTCTCATTTCTTCATGGCTACAACCTTGACTGTACCCAAAAAAATAATAACAATGGGAATCTTACAATTGTTGTGCATTCTAAAAATCTTCATCATCGCCCTCAATTTTTTGTCCAAACCCTCTGGGTCCAGCCCTAGATCTCACCACCCCTTTTTTACCACTCTTCTTCTTCTTCTTAGCTGCCTCTTCTTTCTCAAACTTCTCTCTCTCCCTCTTCTGCAAGAAATCTGTCACTGCTATGTAGATAATCTGTGGGAAAACCCAAACCACCACACAAGATTAGTAGCAACCCATATTCCAAAATCACAAATTTTCAATCAATTTCAACGAGAATAATACTAGAGACCTAAAAATTATATCAAAAGTTTGATCAAATATCACATAAGGTGAATATAGATAATTGTGATACATTTGGTAAAATTTTTAATATAATTTTTTGGTGCATTTTTGTTTCAACAAGACAGCATTGATTTCTTTATTACATGTACCGAACAAATAAATAAAGGAAGAAAGACGAAGTAGATAAGAACTAGCAAGTTGAAGCAGCCCACAACTTAGCAGCAACCCACATTCCAAAATAAAATATTTAATCAATTTCAACAAAACAGCATCGATTTATTTATTACATTTACCCACAAGAACTAGCAAGTTGAAGCTGCCCACGAACAAAAAAATTTCAATCAATCACAACAAAACAGAACTGATTTCTTTTTTAAATGTATAAATAAAAAAAAAATTTCTTTTAAAAGAAAAAGAAAAGAAAGTGGATAAGGATAGCAAGTTGAAGAGACTGATTTTTACCCCAATAGTGAGAACGGACAGGCCAATGAAAGCTATGAACAGAAGAACAGAAATGATGGTGAATCCAGTATCATCACCACCGGAAACTATCTGCTCAGAATTCTCAACTGGGTTTGCTTCTAAAGGCAATGAATCTCCAGATACAGCTGAGATTCTCCGAATTTGGGTGGGTTTTAGAGGGATTTCGTGAGGTGAGTTGTCAAGGGGGATGATTCTTTTTGAGGAAAGAGGAGGGTGAAAGGTGAGGGGATTAAGCGCATATCGAGGTCTTGGGTTGAGAATGGAGGAGAGAAGAGGGGTAGATAGAGATGTGGTGGTTGCCATGTCTCATATACTATTTCTATCATCAGTTTCACAAGGCTGTCTCTAGTCTTGGAGATGGATATGATAAGGTGTTTTCCTAGACACTTGAATTATTTAACCCCAAAAAAATAAGGACTGGGCTTTCCTCAGTCATGGACTAACATGTTGATTATTATAGGTTTTGTTTGTGTAATTTAAATGGTTCATTTTATAAAGTTTAAGGTGTATGACATTTATATAAAAATTCTATTAATTTGATAATAATCATAATCTAATTAATATATTATATTTTTTACAAATAAAAAATGTTTTGATTCTACATTAATATAAAGTAGTATATGTACGGGGAGCAAATATTCCGGCAAGCCCGTACTCCTTCCTTCCAAGCTCCGTTTCAGTCCGATCACCTGCGAGCACAATAGCGGTGAGCTACCCGGCGGTGTGTGACCGGAAAACCCCTCCGACGATCAAGTTAGAACACACACAGGGGATAGATAGAGAGAAGGGAGAGTGTTTAGTGTTTAGTGTATGTCTCACCAAATGTTCATCTGTCCGCGTATGGGGGGCGCAGACGTGTTTATATACCTTCTGCGCCCCAAATCTACTCCCAGTGTCCTCTCAACACGTGGCACTACTATCCCATCTGTCAGCATAAACCTTGCTGAGCACCACCTAACCCAACTGCCTGCCCATTCTCCTAGGAGCTCGGCAGCCGGGCAGTACCATCTCGGCCATCGTCTGCCATGCTGCGCTTCAAGCCCAAGTACTCCAACAGCTAAGCTCAGATGAGGACCGGACTCGGCGGCATCTCGGCAAAGCCGAGCTCGGGACAACTCACGCTTGTCTGCGGTCGACCTTCCTGCCGAGCAAAAAGGTACCTCGGTCCAACCTTGCCTTTCCTAGCGCTGGACCTTTCACCTGACCGGCTTCGTAACCGCGGATCCTTGCAGCTCGGTCAATCCACGCGCTGCCTTAACCGAGCAGCTTCCTTCAAGGCTGGGCCACACAACTTGGCCCAACACCTGTTCGGCCCAAATCTGTCTGGCACAACTCTGTCCAGCCCAAATCTGTCCGGCCCAATTCCACGGCCCAATCCAGATCATAAATCTCCCTCTCAATAACTGCTAATGTGTAACAAATTTCACATTTTAAATCTTTTTCACTCATTTTTACTTTGATTTTATTGAATGCTAAAAAATATATGTGTATTAACTATAACAGACCGGAGGGATTTGGAAGGTAAATTATGAATTTTAAAGTTACGATTATGTATAACTAAAGTGTACTTTATGTGAGAGAAGTTCAACATTTTGTGAGAATAAAAAAAGTTATATTTTTTGTGAAGAAAAAAAATTATATTTTTTGTGACAAAAGTTATTCATTTTGTGAGAGAAGTTATGCTTTTTGATATACAAAAGTGACCTTATACTCTATCATATTCATTAATTACGTAATACAAAATTATAAATAGCATCTTATCATTACAGTACACGTACCGCTACCATACCACCAACCAATAACTTCTCTAATCAACACCACATTTCACACGCACACACTCTCTCTCTCTCTCTCTCTCTCTCTCTCTCTCTATCCTTAATAGCATCGTCAGCTCCGAATCTTCCTTAGATCAACCTCCAACATCGAGACAAAGTCAAACAACAATCAAACATTACCCAAAAAAAAAAAAAAACACCCATTTTTATTAAATATTTACTCTCTCTCTCTCTCTCTCTCTCTCTATGGATTCTGATTTCTGGACCTCTCGGCTCGCCGCTGCCAAGCGGCAATTCAATTTGCAGCACCACCATCATCACAGCTCCCAACTGGGTTCGTTTTATTTTTCAGATTTTGATTTTGATTTGGTTTTTTTTTTTTTCTTTTTAAAAACAATTTGTTGTTTACTATGTTTTTTGTGTTTTTTCAGATCGGTTGAACATCGACGATTTAGAGGTTGAGGATGAGGTCAGACCCGAATTCCCATGTCCTTACTGTTACGAGGACTATGATATTGTGTCTCTGTGCTCTCATCTCGAAGATGAGCACTCTTGCGAGTCCAAAGTCGCCGTGAGTTTCTCTTTAGATTGATATATATATATATATATATATATAAGCACACATGTACATATATAATAAGATATGTAAGTTAATATACACACAAAAAGAAATTAATTATACTCATATAGGGACAGGAATTGAGTCTCATATATTAATTTTTAAATAAATTAATAATTGATATGTAATAACTCACATTATTATAAAATTAATGATATAAAATGTACGTTGTGGTGAAAAAATATAGACACTTATATTTCTAAGCAAACAAGTTATAGATTTTAGTAAAAATCACATAAACATGCATAAATTTGGCGCGATTTCAGAGAATAACGCAAGTGGTGGAAGAAAATATTGCCCAATCAACTTTAATAACGGCTCTCGTGCCTTAACAATGGTGGAAATTTTGTTCGGCCAAGCCTAACCAGACACACATTTAAGAGTAATATTTTCTTAAAAATTAAGCATTTTCTGTGACATTTGTGGGTTTTATATATAAAAAAATGCTTTTTTTTTTTGGTTTCTTAAAATGAAAGTGTAATAAAAAAAAATGCTCATTCCTTGTCACCTTATGAAATAATAACTTTTCATTTGCTATTGGATGAATGCCTTTAAAAAGTAAAAAATAAAAGTTAGTGATTCAAACGTGAAAATAAACAATCTAATAGAATTATCATTCGATTCCACATTCATTCAAATAAATCAAATATTACATTAGAAAAAAATTTAAGTTCACGTAATTTGGTCACAAAATTATACACAACTCTGTCATATGAAGTAAATCAACCAAGAATTTAGATTTGCTAAAATTGATGATCCTGTGAAATTGGTGCATTGTAAGACCAATCGGGATGTCTATATTAGTGATTTAAACCATTTATCTCATGTGACAAGCTAATGTAAAAAATTAAGTTAATCATATACAAGTAATCATATGATCAAATAACATCTAAACCATTCAAATTGACAATGTATTATTAAGATTTTCAACTTTAACAAATCCAAACTCACCCACCAAATGTATCAAAACGTCATTAGAGAGAATTGTGTCAGATTTTGAATAAAATTATATAATCTAAAATGAGCTTTTTTGCAAGGCCATTATTTCTGTAACTCAAACATGGATACAATAAAATTGTATACAAAACCAGAATAAATAAAATAAAATTATATAGGTCTACAATGACATGGATGTGCCTAATTCAATTGTAACTGCAAAGATGCATTACAGCAATAACTACACTAATATATCATCCTTCCAACCAGAATTTTAGCAACCCAGGAAATTGTGATTATGATACATATAGTAGTTGGCCATAAATATGATGAAACTCACATGACAACTGCAGTAGCACCTCAATGTACAAGGTTAAACTGCAACATTCTCATGCCAAAATGGCCACAACAATCAAGATGTGAACTGTAAGTCAATTTACCTTCTAACAGATGAAAACTCGGCCAACTTCACAACATTTTTGTACACTAGCCTAATCTCCATCCACCACTTCAACCAGCCTGCAACGAAATTGGGTGGTGTTTCCTCTTTCCTGGACTGAAATTTTGTTCCATTCCTATTCAGTTGAAGCTGACTCAGTTGCTCAGTGAAGCTGCATTGTTTTATTATACCATCCAGTTCTGATGGAGGCAAACCATAATCACTCATGCTTGTTTGATAAGTTCCTCCTTACCATTAAGCAAATCGTGGAAGTTGAATTTGCCACAACCAAAGTCGTTATAATCGCTCTTACTTGATTCTACTGTTTGGGCTCATCATGTTTGGTTCCATTTTTTTGAATTATTTTTCCAAAAAGTGAGTTGAAAACTCTATTTTGAAAAAGAATCTTTGCTTGGTTTTAAAAAAAATGCATTATTGCATATTCAAGTTTCCCTCCAATTTAAGGAGAGAAATAATTTTTTTTTTAAAAAAAAATTGTCACATCAAAAAATACTCCCATGTTAGTTTTCAAAAAACTTTGTCTGGTTTTCAAAATAACCAAACAAAAACTCCAAAATCTTCAAAAAAATGAATTAGAAAATAGGAACCAAACACAATGATTGATTTCTCCGTGATCTGTTTGGCTCAGACCTTGAATACCTGGATTATTTTCTCTCAGCCTGGTTGACCAGTTCTGCTAAGGCGATTGAAGGGTGTCTACCATTCCCATGAGAATCAATCTGTCCAATTTCTATGGATTGAATTGCTTTGGCTACGAGATTCCTAGTTTCAATGAGGAAGCTTGAGCGAGAGGGCTCCTTGTTGCAGCTGCCTCAAGAGCCTTTGCAGCCTTTTCAGCTTCAGCTTTCAATAACCTGTAAAATGTTATAAATCTATGAATAGAATCCTCAGATAAATCATAGTTAAACCAGCCTAACATATCAACGGGGACTCGACGTCAATTGAGAGAGGGGGGTGTTTGCAATTCATTTCTGACTTCTGCACTTCTGCATATGATGTGTAGTGACAGATGTACAGGAACAAACAATAACTCAGCCAGCCACCGATTGTTAGTGACTCAGGCTTGTTTGGTACAATTTCTTATAAGCTAAAAGATAATAATCATAAAGTAGAAATTAAATGCATCCTTCCTCAGTTTCTCAACAATCAGCTTTTTCAGTTTATTTAAGATATTTTTGGCTTGTTAGAGCATCTTACATAATGGTTAAAAGTGTGCTCCAACTTCTTCATCAAATCTCAAGTGAGAGGCTATTTTTTCACAAATCAATGACGAACCAAATCTTTCACCAAATTCCCAACAGTCATATTTTTACTCAAATTTGATGAAATTTTCAAAAGAGTAAGGATTGGAGATGATTTTCTTTCACCAAAAATGGTTAAAACAAGTTTTTAGGAGAAGATCGAAAATTTTCAAAAATATTTGACCAAAAAATGAAAAATGAAAAATGAAAAAGAGAAAGGATGGTAGTGTTCTATATCAGATTAGCGGTTGTTTAGGAAGTGCTAGATTAGTATATTTTTTGACCTTTTACGTACAAACGTGAAATATGAGTTGGGTTTGAAGTGATGTGATACAGAGATGATGTGACTTCAATATGATAATTGTGACCTAAATAGGATAATGTGTGCTATTTTAGCACATGCCAAACAACCACTAAGCTTTTAATCAAATTTTCATTCAAATTCGATGAAAAAAAGATCAAAGACTGGAGGTCCTCTTAGTTGTAAGTAGAAGCTATACCAAACTCTCACACAGATTCCCAAAATAAAATAAAATAATTGATAAGTAGTCCCCATAAGCTGCACCAAACAAGCAGTGGATTGCTTCCATATTCTCTTAATTCCTTGTTAAATATATAATACAATATAATTGAAGAAGAATTGGCACTTACTTTGCTCGTTCAATGGCTTCAGTCTTCTTATTTTCAGCAGCTGCTCTCTCTGCTCTAATGTTCTTTATCATCTCTAGTTTGGAGCTTGCAAAAGGATCCTTAAATAAGGGCATATTACTGCTTAACCTAGTACGATGCTTTTGGCTTTCAGTCACATTCCCTGTGGAATTATCAGTGTCATTAGCTTTCTTCTTTGTGGGATTTTGTGTTCTGGGTTGTCTCTCACTACTTGGCCTTCTCTTTCGCTTCCTTTCTGCTCCAACTGGTGTGCCATGATATTTATAAAGGGCAGTGCAAACCCTGTCACAGTATGCCTAGTGGGAAAAGATAAAACTTGCTTAACAAACCATGTTTTGGCAAATTTAATGTGATATATAAAAAAAAGTCAAAAGGGTTTATTAACTTATAATGACTATCTCAATTACAGTGGGACAAATATTATTATCTTTCTTCTGATACTTTGCAATGAAATATAAAGATTATCACCACAAATCACAAGTGAGCCTTGGGCCCAAAAGGGAAAACTTATATTCAGTTCAACTTACCAATCGTTTGATACTTCTCTCTTCACAAATAATCAGTAGATGTTGGGAACTTACACACAGGATAAAAGAGAGGGCAAAAAAAAAAGAAGTTAGAGAAATTCTATGTAAAAAGTAGCATAGAAGTTCAAGTCTTAAATCAGAAAACGGAGGGTATAAGGATTTATTCATTGGACATTCAATGGCGTGTATCACAAGACAAAAAACAAAGTAGGTTGAAACATCTACAAATCGATATCTTGGAATGTTAAGCTCCAATAATATGTTATAGATTTTTATCATAAACTTCATGAATTAATTTCAAGATATAAGGCTTTTCTTATTATAACACGCTCAAAAGGATCCCTCGTTCGTCCATCAAATATTCTACTTTTTTCTGTGTACTTGGATTCAATTCAAATACCCATCAATTAGCTGTTTGCACACCGTTTTCGTGCTAATGTAGTCTAAGGGGCATATGCATAGCTAGTACTAGTAATAAGTTAGTCATCCATTTAGGAATGGCAGCAAAACCCAGAGCTTGATAGGATTAGGCTACCACCCCTTTTTCAGAACATTTATGCTTCGCTTGTTTCAGCAGAAAATATTCTCCACGGAAACCTTTTTTTCCAGAAAATGTTTTCCATAGAGAACATTTTTCTATGTTTCATTACATTCTTCAAACTTATGTAATTAGTGGTGGTGGTGGCCGTGGCGTGGTGGTTTTAGTGGTGATGGTGGTGGAAAATATTTTCTACCCAAATAATTTTATTTTTCGTTGACCATGGAAAACATTTTCCATTTCCTGTTGTACCAAACACCAAAAATCAGCAGAAAATGTTTTCCGCATTTGGAGGGTTAGACAAAGTGAATTAAATGATCACTTGATGAAAAGCAAACAAGATGGACTAGGCCAAATAAACAGCATACATTCTCAGCAGAAAATGCAACATATGCCCTTGCAGGATCAGCCCATTTGGCAGAAATGGCCTCTGAAATTTTCCTCCTTTGCTCAAGAGAATTGGGTGCTCTCTTGCTACCTTTCGGTCTTGCCATTTTTCTACTTTGCTCAACACTCTCCAACCATTCCTGCCCGAGCTGTTCATCCAAGATCTTATAGGAGTCCCACTGCTTCTCTTCCTCACCAACAAATCCCTTTCTAGAAGCTTCTGCTATCAA